AGGTTCAATGTGAAGGCAGTAGCCTGAGTCATTGCAGAAGTCCACTGTGCCTTGATTCACCTTTATATTAGTTCCGAAACACGTATGCCTTGATTCACCTTTATATTATTTCCGGAACACGTATGTCTGGATTCACCTTTATATTAGTTCCGGAACACATATGCCTGGATTCACCTTTATATTAGTTCTGGAACACGTATGTCTGGATTCACCTTTATATTAGTTCCGAAACACGTATGCCTTGATTCACCTTTATATTAGTTCCGGAACACGTATGTCTGGATTCACCTTTATATTAGTTCCGGAACACGTATGCCTTGATTCACCTTTATATTAGTTCCGGAACACGTATGCCTTGATTCACCTTTATATTAGTTCCGGAACATGTATGCCTTGATTCACCTTTATATTAGTTCCGGAACACGTATGCCTTGAGTCACCTTTTTATTAGTTCCGAAACACATATGCCTTGATGGAAATGAGGTTAGCTGGATCAGCTATCACTGCCGACGGTCAGCCTATGGATCCTGCTGATATTATTAATGTCCTCTGAGAAATGGGAAGGGTGGAGTGAATCCACATCACTCGCCAGAATGATAGACTTAGGAGTTGAGATTGGCATAGCAAAAAAAAAAAAAAAGTGAGATGGACAACAGGCACATCAGAGGACTTGTTAATCAACACAGAACTGGTACTATTAGCCTCCGGGCGAAGAGGTTCATACTGAGGGTAGGATCTGAGCACCTGTGGACATGTCTGGAGTGCAATGAAGATAACCCAAATAACTAGTTAACTAATTTTCATAAGAGAAATTGAAACAATGAAATTTAATTCTAGGTCATTAAAGTTAATAAAATCCCTTTTCTTAAACAGAAAACAAATAATTTCATACAATAAATCCCCATCTCGGGACCACTACTTTAAATAGTAGGGTACCTCCAGGCTCGATGCTCGGGCCCTCTGTTTTTCGGTGGTTACATAAATGATCTTTTTATGTCTGTCATTGTCCTGTGATTTATTCGACTCTACTATCTACATAAATGACAAAACTTGTAACGTATTAATAGTCATCATTACAACAAGAATTAATAAATAATGTAGTCAAATAAAGATGTACAAACTGTATGCAAATAAACAATAATAAAACAAAATCTATGCTAATAACGACAGACAAAAAAAAAACTGTATAGTTTAAATTCACAGAGAGCGCTTCAACTCTACACTGGGAGAACTCAAGTAGAAAGTGTAATTGAGCACAAAGCACTGGGGTTGGTCACTAATGCAAATCTATGATTAACTCTCACGTACAAGCACTTGCGAAACAAACAGCTAAAAAGGTTTACCAACTTGCAAAACTTTCTGGATGAAAACCCTAGAAAGATATTATACATTTCTCAGAGCCAGACATATATAGACTACTGCTCTACAGTAAGTGATGGCTGTTCCAGTTCTGTTATCAAGAGGCTCATGTCACTGCAAAAGCGGGCCATTCGCTTAATAAGTAATAATCATGGGGCGGTCAGTTCTAAAAAATATAAAGGTCTTATGCTACTACCTGCTTCACGAACGTCTACTTTTCAATAAGGCAATATTTATTCACAAAATTTTATCACAAAAGGCTCCATGTTACCTATGGACATTGTTTAAATATAATGGAAGGCGTAGCAAATGCCTAAAAATATTACATATCCCTAAACCTAGGATAGACTTATACAAAATAAGTTTGGTGTACCCCGAAGCTCAACTGTGGAACTATCTTCCGCAACAAGTCAAAAATACCACCAGTCCTTATACGTAAAATCGGAAACTGTTCAAAAATTATCTGAGCACAGATTACATGCTCCCATAGATGATAAAAAATACTTTAGAAATAGTGCACATTTTTCCAGGATTTACTGTAGTTAGAAATGTGCACACTCCAGTGCATGTACTGAACATATGATGCTACTGATTATTTTACTATTACTGGATGTATGAAAGAAATGATGTATGAATGAAATGATGTATGAATACAATGATGTATGAATGAAATGATGTATGAATACAATGATGTATGAATGAAATGATGTATGAATACAATGATGTATAAATGAAATGATGTATGAATACAATGATGTATGAATGAAATGATGTATGAATACAATGATGTATGAATGAAATGATGTATGAAAATTGGGAGACTAGAAAGGCAGAATGGTCGACGGTCCTGCATGCCCAATTCTCAACCCTCTGAAAATAAAGATTGTTCGTTCGTTCGTTCATTCAATATCAATGTACCATGACACAAGTTCTTCACTCAACATCAATGTATTATGAATCTGACTCAATGTATCATTACACATCACTGACAATATCAATGTATCATGACATATTTCACTCATTCAACATCAATGTATCTTAATACATGTCATGACTGACTATTAGTGTATCATGACACTTGTCACTGACTCAATATAAATGCATCATAACACAAAACTGACTTAATATCAATGTATCATGACACACGTCACTGACTCAACATTAGTGTATCATGCATGTCACTGACTCAGTATAAATGTATTATGACATGTCACTGATTCAATATTAGTGTATCATGACACACATATCACTGACACAGTTTCAATCTATCATAATAAGCTTCAGACAAATAAAATCCACAGCAGAGAATATAGTCAGGGGAAACACATATGAAAACTGAGGCAGTACAGCAAGTACACACAAAAACCACATTCATTGTGAAAACTGTGTAGTCAAGCAAGTGCATGTCACTGACTCAGCAAATAAACAAGAATATTATGAAACACTGAGTCACTGATTCAATACTGTACTGAGGCAGTACAGTATCACTTTACTGTGAAAACTGAGGCATACAGCAAATACACTGAACACACTTGTTGTCAAAACTAGTCAGCAAATACACACAAGCTTCACACAAATGAAAACTCAGTACAGCAGAGAATATGTTGTCAGGCAGTACAGCAAAACACAGAATCACACTTACTGTGAAAAACTGAGGCAGTACAGCAAGTACACACAAAAACCACATTCATTGTGAAAACTGATGTAGTGCAGCAAGTACACACAAGAATCACACTTGTTGTCAAAACTGAGGCAGTACAGCAAATACAACAATCAAGAATGAACAATTGTACAGCAAATACACACAAGAATCACACTTACTGTGAAAACTGAGGTAAGAAACAACCTACTGTGAAAACTGAGGCAGTACAGCAAATACAAGTACACACACTGAGGCAGTACAGAATCACACTTACTGTGAAAACTGAGGCAGTACAGCAAATATAAGAAACACACCTACTGTGAAAACTGAGGCAGTACAGCAAATATAAGAATCACACTTACTGTGAAAACTGAGGCAGTACAGCAAATACACACAAGAATCACACTTACTGTGAAAACTGAGGCAGTACAGCAAATACACACAAGAATCACACTTACTGTGAAAACTGAGGCAGTACAGCAAGTACCTGATAAACCAAGCTATATATGTGTTCCAGCAGTCGCAGTGTGACCAGAAACACATGTGTGCACAAGATCATTATCATTCAATGGCTGACTGTCAAAGGTACTTTCTCTCCAGTCAACAAACACTGTTTTAGTCAGAAATTTCTTAATGAGAAAGAGCACCCTCTTGATTCCACACATCTCCTTTTTCTAGTTCTTCCTGAGTGATGTCATCGCTGTCCTCATCCGGAGTCTGCTCTAGCACCGACGAATGACTTGAAGCAGTTGTGGTTGTGGCTTGTCCATGGTCTGTGTGTGCTTTCTCTTGAGATTCTAGTGCGGCGGCTTCTTCTTCTGTGAGTTCGCGGATCTGAACCCCTCCCTTATCTATAGAATCATCTTGGCCCTCCACAACAATTTCCTCATAATTTTCCTCATCTTTTTCCTTCAAAGCCTCTTCTTGTTTCCTCTGTTCCTCTTCATGTTCATGTTTTTTCCGTTCTTCTTCTTCCTGTTCTTTTTTTAATCTCTTCTCTTCATCTTCTCTGGCTTTGCGTAACTGAGCTCGTAAAATCTCCAGGAACATGTCTGGTGCCTTGCCTTCCTGATTCTCCTGGATCACTTGTACTCTACTGCCTTCTCTAGAGTCTGGAGGAGAGAATGGGAAAACAGTAGTTAAAAAAAAAAAAAAGTAAAGTATAGATCCCTTTACACACCCTTAGGCACATCGGTCATATGGGAAGAGCACCCATATTTTTACAGACCAATCGGCACTCTGTGGGTAATGTGGTCAGCATTACGTCGGCCGTCTTTACTTCCCCAGGACAGCCATCCTGGTACCCATTTGAGGCTGGGTCGACCTGCGACGTCCCATACCACGATAAAAATCCACGCAGCTCGCAGCGAGTTTCGATTGCAGTACGTTGGATTATGAGTCAGACTCGCAACGCCTTAGCCGCGGACCCCACGAAAACAGTAGTTACTGTGCCCAAACTACCACATCAGCTAACAACATTAATATCATGCTATCACACAACAACAGTAATCATCATAATATCAGACAATGAATAGATCACAGCAGTGATTACAGACAAATAAACTGATTACAGTAAAGACTACAGACAGTTTTAAATCATGGTAATTAGTACAGATAGTGAATAGATCACAGTAATGATTAGAGACAATGAAAAGATCATGGTAATGATTACAGGCAGTGAAGAGATCATGGTAGTGATTACAGACAGGAAACAGATCACAGTAATGATTACAGGCACTGAACAAATCACGGTAATGATTACAGGCACTGAACAAATCACGGTAATGATTACATAAAGTGAACAGATCATGGTAATGATTACAGACCAATAATCTGATCACAGTAATAATTACAGACAAATGAACTGATCACACTAATGACTACAGACAATGAACAGATACACAAATGATAACAGGCAGTGAACAGATCACGGTAATGATTTGAGGCAGTGAACAGATCACGGTAATGATTCGAGGCAGTGAATAGATCACAGTAATGGCTACAGACAATGAACAGATACACAAATGATAACAGGCAGTAAACAGATCACAGTAATGACTACAGGCAGTGAACAGATCACGGTAATGATTTGAGGCAGTGAACAGATCACTGTAATGATTTGAGGCAGTGAACAGATCACGGTAATGATTTGAGGCAGTGAATAGATCATAGTAATGACTACAGGCAGTGAACAGATCACGGTAATGATTTGAGGCAGTGAACAGATCATGGTAATGATTACAGGCAGTGAACAGATCATGGTAATGATTCGAGGCAGTGAACAGATCACAGTAATGATTCGAGGCAGTGAACAGATCACAGTAATGACTACAGGCAGTGAACAGATCATGGTAATGATTACAGGCAGTAAACAGATCATGGTAATGATTACAGACAGTGAACAGATCACGGTAATGATTACAGGCAGTGAACAGATCACGGTAATAATAACAGGCAGTGATTACAGACATGAACAGATCATGGTAGCAATTTGAGGCAGTGAACAGACCACTGTAATGATTACAGGAAGTGAACAGACCAAGGTAATGATCACAGGCAGCAAACAGATCATGGTAATGATTACAGACAGTGAACAGACCATGGTAATGATTACAGACAAATGAACTTATAACTGTAATGATTACATACAAATGAACTGATAACAGTAATGATTGAAGAAAAATGAACAGATAACAGTAAAGATTACAGGCAGTGAACAGATAAGGGTAGTGATTACAGGCAGTGAACAGATCACAGTAGTGATTAAAGGCATGAACAGATCACGGTAGTGAACCTCCATCATCTGTATCTACACACCTGGGTACGCAGGAGTAAATGATAATGAAAGAGCTGACCAGCTGGCAAGTAATGCACCAATGCAAATGGGGAAAAAGCATGGACAGAGCTGATATCATCAACGCTGTTCGGATCAGGTTGGGAGATAAAGCAAATCTCTGACGCTAATACGACTTCGTGACCAAGAAGTTAAGCTTGGTGAAGCACGACTATGCCATCTTAGAGGTAAAGACAGAAGACACTATAACCAACTCCTCATGGCAATAATAAGTAGAGGTACATTGAAGTGGCTGCTGCATTGGAGGAACTGAGCACACATAAAGATGCCTAATGTGTAAAGACGTCGATTGAGATAACATAACGGTAGTGATTTGAGACAGTGAACAGATCACAGTAGTGATTACATGCAGTAAACTGATCAAGGTAATGATTACAGACAGTGAAGAGATCACAGTAGTGATTACAGGCATAAACAGATCACAGTAGTGATTACAGGCAGTAAACAGATCATGTAATGATTACAGGCAGTGAATAGATCATGGTAGTGATTCGAGGCAATGAACAGATCACAGTAATGATTACAGACAAATAAACTGATCACAGTAATAATTACAGACAAATGAACTGATCACAGTAATGACTACAGACAGTGGTTTTGAGGTATGGTGTCCACCACAAGTGCTGGAGGTCCTGGGGTTAAGCCCCGGTGAAGGCTAGGATTTTTTCATGTGGACTTCTAGTAATTTACCCTGGTCTCTTGGTAGTAAGATCGGACACGCGTGTGTATTCTTGCACGTAAAAAATCCCATGGCAGTTGCAAGTCACAAAGAGTAGCCTAACGGCATTGCCCAGGCAAAATGTAAAGTTAAAAATTTACATAAAGTATTTTAGGATCCTCACCAGTGAGTTTGTGCACTGTGCTGAGATTCTTCGGATGCAGGCTTAAGTGAGAAGTAGAATAGAGCACTTATGGGTTACACCCGTGTGCCTTGATGTTGATCCGTCGAATAAACATAAACAAAATAGATCACAGTAATGACTACAGACAAAAAACAGATCATGGTAATGATTACAGACAACAGATCATGGTAATGGTTACCAAGACTAGATCACGGTAATTACTCACAATTCATAGTTCACAGTAATGATTACAGACATTGAACAGATTATGGTAATGATTACAGACAGCAAACAGATCACAGTAATAATCACAGACAGTGAACAGATTATGGTTAAGATTACAGACAGTGAATTGATCATGGTAATGATTACATACAAGGAATCTATTCAGTTATGATTGCAGGAAGATGACAGATCATGATAATGATTACAGTCAGTAAACTTCTCATGGTGATGATTACAGACAGCAAACAGGTCATAGTAATAATAACAGACAGTGAACAGGTCATGGTAATGATTACAGACAGTGAACAGGTCATGGTAATGATTACAGACAGTGAATAGATCATGGTAATGATTACAGACTGTGAAAAGATCATGGTAATAATTACAGACAGAGAAAAGATCATGGTAATGATTACAGACAGTGAGATCAGTGAGATAGTGAGATCATAGTAATGATTACAGACAGTGAATAGATCATGGTAATGATTACAGACAGTGAATAGATCAGTGAACAGAGAATAGATCATGGTAATGATTACAGACAGACAGAAATAGATCATGGTAATGATTACAGACAGAGGAATAGATCATGGTAATGATTACAGACAGTGAATAGATCATGGTAAATACAGACAGTGATAGATCAGTAATGATTACAGACAGTGAATAGATCATGGTAATGATTACAGACAGTGAACAGGTCATGATATGAGTATAGTCAGTGAATAGATTCAGTTATGATTGCAGGAAGATAACAGATCATGGTAATGATTACACACAGTGAATAGATTCAGTTATGATTGCAGGAAGATAACAGATCATGGTAATGATTACACACAGTGAATAGATTCAATTATGATTGCAGGAAGTTAACAGATCATGGTAATGATTACAGACAGTGAACAGATCATGGTAATGATTACAGACAGTGAATAGATCATAGTAATGATTACCGACAGTGAATAGATCATAGTAATGATTACAGACAGGGAGTAGATCATGGTAATGATTTCAGGCAGTGAATAGATCATAGTAATGATTACAGACAGAGAATAGATCATGGTAATGATTACAGGCAGTGAACAGGTCACGGTAATGATCACAGACAGTGCATAGATCATGGTAATGATTTCAGGCAGTAAATAGATCATAGTAATGATTACAGACAGAGAATAGATCATGGTAATGATTACAGACAGTGAATAGATCATGGTAATGACTACAGAAAGTGAACAGATCATAGTAATGATTACAGACAGAGAGTAGATCATGGTAATGATTACAGACAGTGAACAGGTCATGGTATGAGTACAGTCAGTGAATAGATTCAGTTATAATTGCAGGAAGATAACAGATCATGGTAATGATTACACACAGTGAATAGATTCAGTTATGATTGCAGGAAGATAACAGATCATGGTAATGATTACAGTCAGTAAACATTTCATGGTAATGATTACAGACAGAGAATAGATTATGGTAATGATTACAGACATTGAATAGATCATGGTAATGATTACAGACAGAGAATAGATCATGGTAATGATTACAGACAGTGAATAAATCACAGTATGAGTACAGTCAGTGAATAGATTCAGTTATGATTGCAGGAAGATAACAGATCATAGTAATGATTACACACAGTGAATAGATTCAGTTTTGATTGCAGGAAGATAACAGATCATGGTAATGATTACACACAGTGAATAGATTCAGTTATGATTGCGGGAAGATAACAGATCATGGTAATGATTACAGTCAGTAAACTTCTCATGGTAATGATTACAGACAGTGAACAGGTCATGGTAATGATTACAGACAGTGAATAGATCATAGTAATGATTACAGACAGAGAGTAGATCATGGTAATGATTTCAGGCAGTGAATAGATCATAGTAATGATTACAGAGAAAAGATCATGGTAATGATTACAAGCAGTGAACAGGTCACAGTAATGATCACAGACAGTGCATAGATCATGGTAATGATTACAGACAGTGAATAGATCATGGTAATGATTACAGACAGAGAATAGATCATGGTAATGATTACAGACAGTGAATAGATCATGGTAATGACTACAGACAGTGAATAGATCATAGTAATGATTACAGACAGAGAGTAGATCATGGTAATGATTACAGACAGTGAACAGGTCATGGTATGAGTACAGTCAGTGAATAGATTCAGTTATGATTGCAGGAAGATAACAGATCATGGTAATGATTACACACAGTGAATAGATTCAGTTATGATTGCAGGAAGATAACAGATCATGGTAATGATTACAGACAGAGAATAGATCATGGTAATGATTACAGACAGTGAATAGATCATGGTAATGACTACAGACAGTGAATAGATCATAGTAATGATCACAGACAGAGAGTAGATCATGGTATTGATTACAGACAGTGAACAGGTCATGGTATGAGTACAGTTGGTGAATAGATTCAGTTATGATTGCAGGAAGATAACAGATCATGGTTATGATTACACACAGTGAATAGATTCAGCTATGATTGCAGGAAGATAACAGATCATGGTAATGATTACAGTCAGTAAACTTCTCATGGTAATGATTACAGACAGTGAACAGGTCATGGTAATGATTACAGACAGTGAATAGATCATAGTAATGATTACAGACAGATAATAGATCATGGTAATGATTAAAGACAGTGAATAGATCATAGTAATGATTACAGATAGTGAACAGGTCATGGTAATGATTACAGACAGTGAATAGATCATAGTAATGATTACAGACAGAGAATAGATCATGGTAATGATTACAGACAGTAAATAGATCATGGTAATGATTACAGACAGTGAATAGATCATGGTAATGATTACAGACAGAGAGTAGATCATGGTAATGATTTTAGGCAGTGAATAGATCATAGTAATGATTACAGACAGAGAATAGATCATGGTAATGATTACAGGCAGTGAACAGGTCACGGTAATGATCACAGACAGTGCATAGATCACGGTAATGATTACGGGCAGTGAATAGATCATAGTAATGATTACAGGCAGTGAACAGGTCACGGTAATGATCACAGACAGTGCATAGATCACGGTAATGATTTCAGGCAGTGAATAGATCATAGTAATGATTACAGAGAATAGATCATGGTAATGATTACAGACAGTGAATAGATCATGGTAATGATTACAGACAGTGAATAGATCATGGTAATGATTACAGACAGTGAATAGATCATGGTAATAATTACAGACAGAATAGATCATGGTAATGATTACAGGCAGTGAATAGATCATGGTAATGACTACAGACAGAGAATAGATCATGGTAATGATTACAGGCAGTGAATAGATCATGGTAATGACTACAGACAGAGAATAGATCATGGTAATGATTACAGGCAGTTAATAGATCATGGTAATGATTACAGACAGAGAATAGATCATGGTAATGGTTACAAAGAGTGA